ATGTGTGTACGTGTGTGTGTGTGTGTGTGTGTGAGAGAGAGAGAGAGAGAGAGAGAGAGAGAGAGAGAGAGAGAGAGAGAGAATGTGTGTGGATACCAGCAGAGACCACAGATCCACTGGAGCTAGAGCTATCCGTGGTTATGAGCAGCCTGATGTGGGAGCTGGGAACTGCACTCTGGTCTTCTGGAAGAGCAGTAAGTGCTCTTAACTGCTGCGTTATCTCTCCAGGCCCACCCAAAGAAAAATATTTATGGTAAACTTCAGTAACTTCCTTGCAACTTAACTTTATGAAGAATTTAGAACAAGAAGAAACTGATTCCGGAGATCATTGACATCAAAATAAGTGAAGGGTTTGGCATCTCTATAATTGAGATATTCAAAACTTGATTGCATGTGCCAGTCCTTGCTAAGGATGAAACACAGCAGGAGTCCTAGGGGTCAGACTGTCTGAATGCGTTAGGAATCCTGGGAATAAGTCCTCAGTGCTCTAGCTTGTCACCTTACCAACAGCACGGTATTAGTGACTTCCACTGTGATGTGGATACTACGTAAGTCAATGTGGAAACATCCAGCTTTCCAACCAGAACATAAAGGTAGAAGCATTGCCAAGCTGCAGGCCTGGACCTTAAATGTCTAACTGCACCTCTGATCTTGAGCTGTTGATGTAAGCTTGAATTCAGTTCTGCTCAGTACATAGATGGTTGTATTTGGTTCATCCTCCAGCCTTCAGGCTTCCATTTGACCATGGACCCATGGACTCACTGATGCTCTGAGTGTTGTTCATATCAAACCTCACCTCTAGGCATAGACTAGCCCTTATGATCCACAGTGGCCTTGTTCCTGTCACAGCCCTCATCTATTTGGTAGCCCATGCAAAGGGCATCCCAAGACAGTTCCATTAGATGTTGCCTCTGCCCTGACCTTGTATCCCAGCATGTATTTTCTGCATACCAACACAGAGGTCCAAATCTTACACTGAATATTCTTAAACATTCCTGACTTCTTTCATGGGTAAACATGTGGAACTTGCAGTATGTCAGCACTACAGTGACAGAAATCTAGAGTCAAAGGTTTCTCCCTGACCACCTTGCTTTCTAAACCACCCTGTGGTTCCCCAGCTGAGCTGACATCACGTCCTGAGTTCATGACCCCAGGCATCTTTTGACTGAGCCTACCTAATGCTAGAAATCAAATTTCCTTCGTGGCCCCAAATTAGACATGAGTGCTACCACTCAGCTGGCTCAGACGGTGGCACTAACCTTTCAGCTGCTGCAGGTTCCCTTGAACCATGAGGAGTTCTAGCTTGAAAGTACATTTCACTCAGTGGCAATGAGGTACCAGGTTCTGTGCTAAGAACATAGCCATGGGAAAGCCATCCCTGCCCTCAGTCCAGTGGAAGAGTTGGTGGTTACATTAATCCTATGACTATCCCCATTCCCAACTGAGCAGGAAGTAGACACATGAAGAATAGGAAGGAATTTGGGAGAAAAGAAGAGCAGACTTTGATCATGTCTATGTATGGATAAGCCTTCCCTATAGTTATCCAACAGGCTTAATCATCTATCATGGACCTACCAGGAGGATCTTTCCAAATAAACTCAAGAAATGCTCTGCGAAAAAAAAAAAAAAAAAAAAAAAATTCTCTGACCAAGGTTGAGAGCATCCCACGTTGATGGGCATATGGGTCTATAAATACTTAGAAGAAAATTTGAAAGCATGACCATTTAGCAAAATAACAATAATAGGTGCTCACCTATAGCATGGCCTT